TGACCTAGAAAATGGGATTCTATAGGAACTGTTATGAATACAAAGAGACTCCCGTGTCACTTATGATTTATCTTATAGAGCTTTCTTGTTTCAGAATAATGAAATCTTCCTTGACAACGGAAGATAAAGAAAAAGAAAGGACTGGCTTTGAGGGTAGATTCTAGTGAAGAAAGTTCTTCTGATCTTGATAGTGATGATTTAGCACTTGTTGCTAAAAGATTTGTTAAAAAAGTTGTCTAATCGAAAGGGGCTGGAAGGCCACAGGAAAAAAGTTTAATAAAAACGAACTTTCCATCTAAAAAACATATTAACTTGGCCTAAGAAAGAACCTTCTGAAAGTGTTTGTTATGAATGCAAACAAAACCTAGAACATCATCAAGCCAACATTGTCCTAAACTGAAAAAGAAGTCAACAAGAGAGAAGTGAAGCCAGGCTTCGTAGCTGCCTGGAGCGATTCAGGCTTTCGTTAGCACTTCTGACTTCAACACAGAAGAAAGTTGGAATAAACGAAACCAAAATGCAAGATCCATGAGAATGATTGAAAATTGCACTTTAAGTATCTCTGAACCCGAATCAGAAAAATGATCTTCTAAAATACTACAACCATCTTTGGCAATGAGTTTTTGAAAAAACTTGTTAGAAGGTTATAAGTTCTAAAGAATCAGATTTCAGAAAATTAAAAATCTGAAAGTAATAATTTTGAGAAGATTGCTTTATCAGGAAGTTTACATTGCAAGGATCTTATTATAGAAATCAAAGATCTTAAAAGTTGTAATAATCGATTTTCTGAAATCTGACCACTTCTTGGAGAAAAAAATGCCAAAAATTTGGAATTTCTGAAAAATGAAATTCTTGAAAAAACTGAGATTAGAATTCTAAAAATTCTATTTCAGAATCATTTTCTAAAGAGAGGAAAACAAGCTTCTAATAGCATTTCTAAACCTGAATCGAGTATTTCTAATTAAAAAAAATGCCTGTTTTCTATGTTGGATTTAGAAGCATCAAAGTTTCAACAGAAGAAGAATCATAGTGGCACCTGTACCACTAATCCTCCAGACCCAATATTGAGTTGGGTACCTAAATCTGGCTTTGATTTTTTTCAGGGTGTGCCTAAGGGCGAGCTTGAAAACAGGAAATGTGTACATGGACAGCGCTTGCTCTAGGCATATGACTGGTGATAAAAGAGGTTCACAGATAGAAAAGAAAAAGGAGGTATTGGTAAAGCTTTGGAGACAGACAAAGCAAAAGGTAAAATCATTGGTATTGGTGTGGTAGATTCTAATCCTTCAATAGAAGATGTATGCTTAGTAGAAGGATTGCATTATAACTTGTTAAGTGTTAGTCAGATCTGTGATAAAAATAGAAGAGTGATCTTTGAACCTTCTCATTATGAAGTTCAGAACATGCATGATAATTAAACTTTATTTATTGGAAAAGGTTTTGGAATATATACCTTGTAGATCTCTCTGATATGCATAACCAGGATATATGTTTAGTTTCTATTGATAATTCTAGTTGGTTATGGCATAGAAGACTTGGACTGGACATGGCAAGCATGCACCTTATTTCTAAACTGTCTAAGAAAGATTGGTTCGTGGTTGCCAAAGTTGAAATTTTTGAAAAAAGATCACATTTGTTGATTGCTTTGTCAAATTGGGCAACCAAACCAGAACTTCTTTTAAATCTAAGGGCATTGGTTTCTACTTCTAGCACCTTTAGAATTACTGCACCTTGATTATTTGGGTCCAAATTACTCCTTCTAGTCTTTGGAGGAAAAATTTCTATGGCATTTGTTATTGTAGATGACTTACTCTAGATTCCCACCTGGACACTCTTCCTTAGAAATAAGGATGGAGTCGTTTGGACATGTTTGTTCATCGTGGTGCAGGAAAATACAAAAATGAGGAAAGGAACCAAACATCACAGCAATTAGAAGTGATCATGGAGAGAATTTGGAAAATCAGAAATTTCAATGCTTTTTTGCAACCGAGGGACAGGGAATCTTCCATAATTCTCAGCACCTAGAACACCCTTTCAAACAAAATGGCAGTGGTGGGTGGGAACGCCAAGGAATAGAAAACCACTTCAAGAGATGCAGAAACCATGCTAAAGTGATTCTTAAACTACCAAAGTATTTTCTAGGCAGAAGCAGTTCAGCCACTGCTTGTATATTCTAAACAGGGCTTTTGGTTAAAAGATTTTGGAAACTTAAAAACTCCATTATGAAGCTATACAAAGTAGAAAACCAAATATTGGTTATTTTCATATTTTCCGGGTGCAAACTGCTTTATTCTAGATAACAAGAAAATTCATCTTGCAAAAATTTGATTGCTAAATTCTTATGAAGGGGATTTTTTCTGGGTTATTTCTAATAATGTAAAGATATAGAGTGTTTAATTTAAAAGACCTAGTTGCTAGGAAGAATCTATTCATGTTGTGTTTGATGGAAACTGACTCTACTCTAGAACATTAAAAAGTGATGATGTTGTTGTAGATTCTAATCCAAGAAGCAGAATGAAGCAACAGGGAACAAACTAGAACAGCCAGAAAGCGATCAAAACATCAATAATTCAGGCGAACAGAATTAGAACATGAAGATCAAATATAGTTGAAAGCCAAAATGCCAAGAAACAGAAAATGAAGATTCTCCAATTACCAAAAGAATGGCGAATTTCACAGTATCATCCCCAGGAAGGAACATTTAATGGATAATCCCTCAGAAGGATGATGACTAGAGCTCAACTTAGAAGAATATTTTGGTTTTTAATGGTTGCTTTCGTTTCGTCAATATAGAAGCCTAAAATTTAGAAGATGCTCAAAATGGATGGAAGGTTGGATTTCTTGCTATGCAAGAAGAGCTAATCAATTTGAGATAAACCAAAGTTTTGGAAAGACTTGTTTCTTAGGACCTAAAAACCTTTCTTGTTATTGAACAAAATGAGGTGTTTAGAAATAAGCTTGGATGAACAAGGTTAATGTTGTAAGCTTGATGAACAAGGTAATGTTGTGAGAAATAAAGCAAGATTAGTGGCTCAAGGATACAACCAAGAAGAAGGCATCGATTTTGATGAAACCTTTACTCTGGTTGCTAGACTTGAGGCCATTAGAATGCTTTGTGCATTTGCATGCTTTAAAAACTTCATGTTGTATCAAATGATGTGAAAAGTGCTTTTCTAAACGGTTTTCTAAATGAAGAGGTGTACGTAGAACAACCTCCGGGCTTTGAGATTTTTTATAAACCTAATCATGTTTACAAACTTACTAAAGCTCTTTATGGTTTAAAGCAAGCTCCTAGAGCTTGGTATGAAAGATTGAGTAAGTTTCTATTTAGAAAATTGGTTTTTTCAAGAGGGAAAGGTTGATACAACACTTATTTATTTAAAAACGAAAGCACATTGATATTTTAGTTGTACAAATATTATGGTGATGACACTTAAATTCTTTGGTTCTAACTAACGACCTTCTTTATAAGGAATTTTCTAAGATTATGCAGGCGTGAGTCGAAATGAGTATGATGGGAGAATTAAATTTCTTCCTAGGGCTTCAAATCAAACAAGTGTGAGAATGGAATTTTTCATAAAATCAAGCAAAATATACTAGAGAGTTTGTTGAAAACGATTCAAAATGGAATCAAAATGGAAAATGCCAAGGTATGTAGTACTCCAATGAGTCCATCGTCAAAATTAGAAAAAGATGAAAAAGGCAAAGACGTGGATATCAAGCTGTTTAAAAGTATGATTGGTTCTTTACTATATCTAACGGCAAGCAGACCAGACATACACTTTAGTGTTTGTCTTTGTGTTAGATTTCAATCGTGTCCCAAAGAATCTCATTTAATTGCTGTGAAGAGAATACTAAGATATTTTTGTGGAACTTCTAATCTGGGTTTGTGGTATTCTAAAGATGATACATTTGATCTTGTTGGGTATAGTGATTCTGATTTTGCAGGATCCAGGAAGGCAGAATAGATAGAAAAAGCACGTCTGGAACTTGCTCAATTTCTGGGTAGCGCTTGTATTATGGTTAAAGAACAGAAATCTGTTTGCTCTTTCTATGCCGAAGCAAGAATATGTTATTGCTGGCAAGCTGTGTGGGAAAGTTTATGGACTAAAAACAGGTGAGATATGGACTGAAATTAGAAAAAGTTGCTATCAAATGTTGATAACCATAACGTGCCATCAATTTCCAAGAAATCCAGTTCAACATTCTAGAACCAAGGCATATTTTAGAACTCAGACATTCACTTCATACGTTGAATCCATGTACCAAAAAGGTGATATCGTGATTGAGTTCATTCCCACAGAAAAACAATTGGCAGATATTTTTTCAACAAAACCTTTGAATGAAAGTTCAATTCTGCACCAATTAGGAATAGAAGTTGGTATGGTAGTTCTAAACTCGTAACTTTAGAATTTAGAACTTTGTAAGTATGTTCTAAACTGCTTTCTAATTTCAAGAATAGAAGATTTGCTATGTTCTAATTTTTATTCTGTGTGAAATTTTTTTTTTGTCTAAAATCGCACATTGCTCTGATATGACTTTCTAAAGTCATTATCAGAATCTTGCTTTAGACTAAGACAGTTATTTTATTTTTTTTGTGTCTTTAGTGCTTTGGCGGTTTTAGGGTTTTTATTTTATTTTATTGTTTTTGTTTTGTTTTATTTCCTTTATTTATTTTGTTCCTTGTGTCTTATTTGTCGTTTTAAATTCCATTTAAAAACTGTTCTTTATTTCTTTCTTACTGTTCCTTTATTTTCTTTCTTTCCGCACTTAAGTGTCTCTATTTTGTGTTTAACCGCTTAATATTTCTTCTTATCTTCTCTATTTTGTGTTAACCGCTTAATATTCTCTTTATCTTCTCTTTGAAAACTGAAACCCTAAGTTGTTTTTGAGTTTCTGCAACAATGGCCGAATCCAATTCAAACTCCTCATCTGACTCTCTTACTGAGCAAGAGCTTCAACTTCTTTAGAAGCTTTCAAAGAAGTATGAACAAAAAGAGATGAAGGAGAAAAAGGCAGAAGAGAAACTTAAGAAAAAGAAAAGCGAAACGGGTACTTCACAGAAACAAACAGCGAAAGCTCATGACAAAGGTAAGTCGGTTCTCTCAACTTACCCTATTATGCGTTCTTATGTGATAGACTGGAAGTTTTTTTGGTGGTAGCGAGTTTAATTTTAAGGAGCTCTTTGAGTTCCAAGGCTGGATGAACTTTCTGTCCTTAAATGCACTATGTTATGAAAGCTTAGTGAAGGAATTTTATGGGTCGTTGAAAGCTAGTGGAACAGAGGCGATCTCTGTGAAACTCCAGGGTGAGTTCAGAGAATTATCATATGATGACTTTGGGAAAATTTTTGGTATTCCAAATGCTGGGTCTAGAGTGACCAAAATCAAAGATGTGGCTAAGGTTAGCGACTATAAAAAAGGAAGATTTTGTGAGAAAAATTGTGAAGAGAGTGTTTGCAGATAAACAGGGCTCGATAGAATGCTCTAACTTAATAGAGAGCATGAAGTGGCTTTACAAGCTTATTGTTCATTACATCTATCCCAAGAGCGCCTCTTTGACATATGTGAATCAGGTAGAATTGTGTATAATGTAAGGTAGAATTGTGTATAAATTGTGGCACATTGTGAGAGGAAAAACCCCTCAAACCTAGTCACATTATTTTTTAAATAAGCTGCAGAATATCCAAAGAAGCTTACCTTACGGGGATGATTCTTACACCAGGTTTTTGGAATTTTTGAATATTGACTTGGATGAGACATGTTGGAGAGTTCTGTTTCCTAAGTTGGACAGGCGCGGGTCACTTAAAGACTGAAAGATAGGAAGAAGAGAAGAAAAGGAAGTAAAGGCAGAAAAGAAGGAAGAAAATGGAAGGAAGAAAAAGAAAAAAGAAAATTGAAAAACAAAGAAAGTAAAAAAGTGAAGCTGAAAAGAAGAAGGAAAAGAAAAAGGGGAAGTTGGAAGAAATAGTTTAAAAGAAGAAGGAAAATCAGAAAGGAAAAAGAAGAGCGAAAAGAAGTCAAGCAGAAAAGGCTGAAAGAAGAGGGAAGATAAGGGAAAACACAAGAAAAAAGGCTGAAGAAGAAGAAGAAGAAGGAACACAAGAAGAGGAATTAGAAGAGGAAAGAAAAGAAGAAAAAGAAAAGGAAAGCACTGTAGAAAAAGGAGAAACAGAAAAAGAAAGTACTGTAGAGAAAGAGGAATCAGAAAGAGAAACAGGAAAGATAAAAGAGCCGGAGAAGACAGAAAAGGGGAAGAAAGTGGAAGAAGGCAGTGATACTGAAACTGAGAAGCTAGAGATTAGCGATGGAGAAAAGACCACTGAAGATAAAACAGAACAAGAGTCTGAGTTGCTATCTGTGCAAAGAAGCAGGGAAATCATGATGGGGAGAATAGAAAAGGAACTCATAGAGGAGCACAATAAGGAAATTGATGAGGCAATACAGCAGTCTCAAACTATCATTGAACAAAATCAGTCACTCATCAAAACCTTTTAGAGAAAATGAAGGATGTGAACCACAAGAAAGCTAGCCACTCTCAGAAGTGAAAGGGACAACCTACAATCCCTCCTTAGAAGAAAAGCCAAAGAATGTGAAGCACACTGTAGGAAAGCACAGGACTCATGGAAAGAAGCCTCCACTGCACCCTTCTTCTAAAAGGCTAGAGAGTCCTTCTGAGACTGCTCCAGCTCAGCCTTTAAGGAGTTCTAAGAGACTTAGAACTACCTCTAAGCCTTTCTGATCTGTTTTCTATATGTTGTGAACAATTTATTTTATTTCTGTGTTTTATCTTCGTAGGATTATTTGTTCTTGAACTGTTTATTTTTCTTATTTTGCTGTGATCTTGCCTAACCCTTTTGTATGATGACAAAAAGGGGGAGAACAGGTACCCTTTTGTATGATGACAAAAAGGGGGAGAACAGGTATTTTGGTGAACATTTTTGAACACTATTGGTACGTACTTGGCAACCAAAGTACTGATATATAGTGGTTATCTGTGTGCTAATATTTTCTAATTTGTTTGTTTACAGATTATCATTTTCTATATGGTCTATGTTAGTGAGCTACATGATAAGCTTTGTGTTTTTAGAACTTAGATTCTTATTCTAACGACTGTTTTGTAGGATGAACATAAGATCTTTTCGTTCCATTTCTAAACTTCAGCCTTTAGTCTTTTGCTCTGACCATATGATCTGCTTATTAGAACTTAGAATGTTTTGTCTATTTCTGCTAGTTCTAATATACATATGCTCTGATTGTTTGATTGTTAGAACTTTAGAATATCTTGCTTTATTTTTTTGCTAGTTCTAAAATCAGTTTCTAAAAGGCCCTCCCTAGTTTAATTTTGTAAAACAGTTTTTTACTACATCTATTCCCGGGGGAAGCAAAAATACATGTTTTCCTAATCTGCCCTCTAACTCTAAATATTCTTTTGGCATGATTGAACTTATATACAATAAATTCAGGGGGAGCCATGTTTTTTAATGCTTGCTAAAATTTATTGGTTTTGGTCATCATCAAAAAAAGGGGGGATTGCTGGCTCAAGGGTCAATTTCTACAAGTCTCGAATTTTGGATGATTAATTCAAAACAAAATAATTTAAATTATGTTATGTGCTAATTTTATTTTATGCAGAATTTCTCTGGAAAAGTAAAATCAAACACAGGTAAATCCTACTTGAGTGTGAAGATTTCCTGAAGACCTGCGAGCTAGGTATTTAGGAAACTTTGTAGGATAGAGAGCATATATGAGCACAAAAATTATTTTTCTCTCAAAAATATTTTTCGGAAAATTAGATTTCTTCAAAATAATTTCTATCATAAAAATATTTTATTTTTTCAAAAATATTCTTCAAATCAAAATGATTTATTTTCCTAAAAAAGAGATTTCTTCTCTAATGTTTTTGGTAATAAAATCATTCACCTTTTCGGAAATATATTTTGCAAGATCTAAAGTGTTTTAAAGTTATTCAAACTATCTTTATAAAGATCTTGCTTTTATTTGCTTACCTAAATGAAAGAGATTTTGTCTTAATCATTTTTGGTAACAAAATATTTTGAAAAAAGATGTTTATATTTTTATTTTTGGAAACTTTTTAAGGCAAGTCCAAAATCTTACTTCTATTCGTTTACCTTAAAAGAAAAGATTTTGACTCAAAACATTTTTGACAACAAGATCTCTGTATCTTCTAGTTTTAGAAAGTCAATATTCTTATTCAAAAGATAGAGATTTTACTTTTTAAAATGGGATTTACATCCCTCTTTATAAAAGGCGTCTTTTCCTTGTAAAGACGTGGGTTTTTGTTTTAAGAGTAAAAGTCCATTGATAAAATATTTTAATACTCTCAAAACTTGCTCTTAACCCCATTTTTTCTTTTCATCTTATTGCTTCACGAATTATTTTTAGGAGAAAAGAAAATTTTATAACAACTTCTTTTGAAAAACATTTCTGTTCTTTAAAACGATTTTCGAATCTTGATTTCTGTTTTTCCCGTGCTTTATATTTGTATTTCTCTCTGTCTATATAAATTCTGTATTGTAGATAGGTTTTTTATTTGAAAAACTTTCGTGTAATAGCTTAGGTGAAAAGCTATTATGAAATAGGTTATCAAGTGACCTTGTCCTTGTGTGGGATTCTAATGTCTTGATTTGAGTTTCTGTTCTCCGCAAAAACAGAAAGGGTTTAGGTTGACTAGAACCTTTGGAAAATCTAGTAGGATAAAGGGTAGATCTAGGTATTGATCTACTGCCTTGTACTGTTGGTTTGTCTCTTACCTTTCCTTTAAAATGAGATAACTTAGTGGAAGGATCTCAAGATGCGTCTTGGGAGTGGGAAAATGTAGGCGAGTTAGTGCCGACCACTATAACTCTCCCGGTGTTGAAATTCTCTTTATTTGCCTTCTGAAGTTTGGTTATACTGTCTCTTTTACACTCTTGTTTAATTTTTTAGAAAACGCTGAAATTGGTTAATAATTCAGATGTTCTAAACCCACGGCAATAAGTTCTCCATCTATTCTAAACGTTAGAACTCTGGTAATTCTTAATAATGAATATACAATGTTCTTAAATGGTTTGTTCTATTCGCAGTAATAATTCACTGTTTGGGTTTCTATTTTATTGTTCTAGAAGCATTTATGAGGATGTTCTAATCCTGATAACTCCTCCATCATAAAGGTTACTTTAATATTTGATTAAGGCCTCTGTGAAAGAAGTTCTGAATTTTAATAACTATTCTTTCACATAGCGCTTATATGGTTTTTGCAAACTTTTATGAGGAGTTCTAAGTTCGATAACTTTCCTTCATAAAAGAAGATCTGATACTTGTATAAGCAGTGTGAAGCTGTCTAATCAATAGCTGCACTTTGCACAGAACTTTCTATATTTGAAAATTAGACACATTGTGAGGAGATTCTAATCCTATTCTACTCTCACAAAAGTTTCTGTGTGTTTTCCGCTGCACTTATAGGAATTCTAATTCATTCATGTTTAGAATTTCTAAAATTTATTTCAGTATTTAGAAAACCCAATTCACCCCCCTCTTGGGTTGTGCCATATATATTCGGGACCCACAGGAGCAACATATGAAGGAGATGCAAGAGAAAATACAACAGCAAGTCCAAGAACAAGTTTAACAGCAAAGACAATTACTACAGAATCAACTCCAACAGCAACTTCAAGATATACTTCATACCCAGTTAGCATCTTTGGTTGGTGGCTTACCTAGTGTACACACCAGGTAGCATCCTAGATCACAATAGGATGACGATGATGATATTGGTCTATGTTGACTTTAGGTGAATCATACATAACTTACATTTCTTATTTAGATTGAACTTTGAATTTAGTAAATATTTATATTTAAGATAATTATATATATATATTAAAAGTTTGATTTATATATTTTATTTTGCCTTTCTAATACCAAGTCAACTAAGAATTGCGTAAATAGATTGTAAATTTAGTAATGGATTTAGCAACAAAATAGTCGTGAATATTAATATATTATTTTTAAATTTAGCAATAGATTTAGCAACATATTAGGCACGAAATTTAACAAAAATTTAATATATTTAGCAATGATTTTAGCAATGAATTATAAACATCAATGTATTCAGCAAAGTATGAGCTAGGGATTTCAATAATATTTCAATAGAATTAGTAATGGCTTAGCAAGGGATTTCATATTAGCAATGGTAATAGACATAGAGTAGCAAGACATTTGGCAATGGGTTAGACACAAGCAAGAGATTTAGCAATAGAATTAGACAGAGATTAGCAAGCGATTTAGCATCGAAAGTAGAAAGAGATTAGTAAAGCAACGGAATAGAAACCACTTAGCAAGGGCATTAGCAACAGAATTAGACAGCGATTAACAACAAATTAGCCACGGATCACACCCCTCTAA